TAGATACAACCTTGATCAGAGCCTACCTAAATTGAGAGACCACGTGAAAAATAAATTTGAAGTACTGAACACAAATGACTGACGATCAGATGAGTTGTGGGATGACATCAAATACATCATACACGAAGAAAGCAAAGTCATTAAAAAGAAAAAGAAAAGACAAGACCAAAATGGGTATCAGAAAATTCTGAAACTTGCTTTTGAGTGTAGAGAAGCTAAAGCAATGGATAAAATGAAAAAGTAAAAGAGCTGAACAGAAAATCTCAAAGGGCAGCTCAAGAAGACAAACTAAGTATTATAACGAAATATGCAAAGACCTAGAGTTAGAAAACCAAAAGTGAAGAATATGTTCAGCATTTCTCAAGCTAAAAGAACTGAAGAAAAAATTCAAGCCCTGAGTTGCTGTACTGAAGGATTCTATGGTATTCTGTTGTAGTACAAGCACTGGACAAATCCACCAGCCCTTCTCGGAAACTCTACACAGGGTCATTAGGAGTCAGACTGACTCAGCAGCACACAGCAACCACCACCACTGACAATATATTGAAAAACGCAGTAAGCATCAAAAGAAGATGAAAGAAATACACAGCGTCACTATACCAAAAAGAATTGGTTGATGTTCAGCCATTTTTAAAGGTTAACATTTAAACAACGTTCCAGGAATTGATGGAATACAAACTGAAATTTTCAACAAACTGATGCAGCCCTAAAGGTGCTTATCTATGCCATGGCATTTGGAGGACAAATACCTGGCCAACCAACTTGAAGAGATCCATATTTGTGTCCAATCCAAAGAAAGGTGATGCAATAGAATACTGAAATCATCAAAAAAAAAAAAAAAACCCATTAATATCACATACAGTAAAATTTTGGTAAAGATAACTAAAAAATGGTTGCAGCAGTACATCAACAGGGAATTGCCAGAAATCCAAGCTGGATTCAGAAAAAGAATGAGGGATATCATTGCTAATGTCAGATGATGCTTGCCTGAAAGCAGAGAGTACCAGAAAGATGTTAACTTGTGTTTTAATGACTGTGCAAAGGCATTCAACTGTGTGGATCATAATAAAGTATGCATAACATTGCAAAGAATGGGAACTCCAGTACAACAATTTTGCTCATGAAGAACATGTACATAGACCAAGAGACAGGTGTTAGAACAAGGGGACACTAAATGATTCAAAATCAGGAAAGTTGTGAGTCAGGACTATATACTTTTACCATACTTATTCAATCTTTATGCTGAGCAAATTATTTGAGAAGCTGGATTATATGAAGAACATGGAATCAGGATTGGAGGAAGACTTATTAACAACCTGCCATATGCAGATGATACAAGCTTGCTAGCTGGAAGCGAACAGGACCTGAAATGCTTACTTATGAAGACCAAAGACTATAGCCTTCAGTATAGATTGTACCTCAAAGTAAAGAAAATAAAAACCCTCACAACTAGACCAATAAATAACCATGATAAGCAGAGATAAGACTGTAGTTGTCAAAGACTTCACTTTGTTTGGATCCCCAATCAACAGTCATGGAAGCAGCATTCAAGAAATCAAATGATGTATTGCATTATGCAAATCTGCTGTACAAAATATCTATAAAGATATCATTTTAAGGACTAAGGTATATATGATTCAAGTCATGGTGTTTTCAATCGTCTCATATGCATGTGAAAGTCAGACAATGAATAAAGAAGACTCTAGAAGATCAATGCATTTGAACTATGGTGTTGGCAAAGAATACTGAAAGTACTGTGGACTGCCAGAAGATCAAACGAATCTGTCTTGGAAGAAGTATAGTCAAAATGCTCCTTAGAAGCAAGGTTGGCGAAATCTCACCTCTCATACTTTGGACATGTTGTCAGGAAGGCCCAATCCCTGGAGGACATCATGTTTAGTAAATTGGGGAGTTATAGGAAAAGAGGAAGACCCTCAATGGGATGGAATTGACACAGTGGCAGTAACAATGGATTAAAACATAATAACAATTGTGGGGATTGTGCAGGACCATGCAATGTTTCATTCTGTTGTGCATAGGGTCACTGTAAGTCAGAACTGACTAGATGGTACCTAACAACAATACAATTTAATCTGAGCAGACGTGATATCTTTATAATATTCAAATTCCCTACTTAAGACCATGATATACCTCATTATTATCTTCATGTGTTTTTTCTTATAGATGGGATGGATAGATGCATGGAAGGAAGTAATGATGGGTGAACAGATAAATACAAGGTAAGTCAAAAAGTATACTAATATAGTTCTAGTTCATATATGAACAGATTTAATCCAAACAAAACATCTTTAAACAAGCCTCTGTGATCAGTGGATACCTGCAGACAGATTTTCTCAGTAACACACTTGCCTTAGTCTTGTTAGTTTGCCTTTAAAAAAAAAAAAAAGGTCCAAACAAACCAATGACTTTCAAAGAAATCTTCTGAGCCAGTTAAATTCAAGAAAGCCAGGTCAGCCCAAAAGGTTATAGTGACTGTTTTCTGGGACTCCAAAGGAGCAATCTTGATAAATTTTCTCAAAGCACACAGGATGATCACAAGGACTCATTAAGAAAAAGGTTTTTTTATTTGTTTGTTTTTTAATTTATTAAAAAAAAAAAAAAGAGACAGTAGGTGAGAGCCTGAGAACACATCAACATACAATCAATAAAATACAAATACAATAACACCGCAATGTCCCATGGACAACAGACAACTTTAACTCACACAAAGAAACAAGAGAGAAAGGCATACATTTTGACTGTTTCCTTCTTTCTTGTCTTCTCAATGATTTTTTGCTTTCTTCATGTATAACGTTCTTGATGTCATCCCACAACTCTTCTGGTCTTCACTCTTTAGTGTTTAATGTATCAAATCTGTTCTTCAGATGATCTCTAAATTCAGGTGGGATATATTCATGGCCATATTTTGGCTATCATGGACTTGTTTTCATTTTCTTCAGCTTCAGTTTGAATTTTCATATGAGTAATTGATGGTCTGTCCCATAGTCTGCCCCAACCTTATTTTCACTGATGATATGGAGCTTTTCCATCGTCTCTTTACAAAGATGTAGTCAATTTGATTTCCATCTGGCAAGGTCCATGTGTATAGTCGTCTCTTATGCTGTCTAAAGAAGGTATCTGAAATGAACAAATCATTGGCTTTGCAGAATTCTATCATGTGTTCTCCATTATCATTTCTATCACCAAGGCCATATTTTCCAACTACTGATCCTTCCTCTTTGCTCCCAACCTTTGCATTCAAATCACCAGTAATGATCAATACATCTTGACTGCATGTTTGATCAATTTCAGATTGAAGAAGTTGGTAAAATTCTTCTATTTCATCCTCACTGGCTTTAGTGGTTGGTGCATAAATTTGAATAATAGTGGTATTAACTAGGTTACCCTGCAGGCACATGGATATTATCCTATCACAGACAGTGTTGTACCTCACGACTGATCTGGATATGTTCTTTTTGACAATGAATGCAACACCATTCCTCATCAATTGGTCATTCCCGGCATAGTAAACCATGTGGTTGTCAGATTCAAAATGGCCAATACCAGTCCATTTCAGCTCACTAATGTCTAAGATATTAATGTTTATGCATTCCATTTAATTTTTGACAACTTCCAATTTTCCCAGATTCATATTTTGTACATTCCATGTTCTGATTTTCAATGGATGTTTACAGCTATTTCTCTTCATTTTGAGTTGTACCCATTAGCGAATGAAGGTCCCACGTGCTTTACTCCATTCGCGTTACCACAGTCACTCTACTTTGAGGAGGCAGCTCTTCCAAAATCGCATTTTGAGGGCTTTCCAACTTGAGGGGTTCATTTTCCAGCACTGTATCTGACAGTGTTTTTCTGCTATTCATAAGGTTTTCAGTGACTAAATATTCGGAAGTAGTACGTCACTCTTTCTTACTAGTTTGTCTTTGTCTGGAAACTCATCTGAAACCTGTCCACCATGGGTGAACCTGCTGATTTTAAAATACCAGTGACATAGCTTTCAGAATCACAGCAACTCACAAGCCACCACAGTAAGACAAACTGACAGGCAAGTGGTGGCCGTTTGGTTTTAAATGGAAACTGTCACTTTAAATTTCGACGAGATCTGTGTGCATGCGTAGTAGAACCCTCCAGGGTTGGGGGTGGGGTGTCCTTTCTTTCAGGCATCCCCTCTAGTCACCAGAATGGCGGTGCGCAGACAGCGAGAGATCAATGAACAGATGCCAAAAAAAGAATGTCCACACCTGTATCTCTGCGGTTCTGTCAGGTAGTTCATGGGTGTTTTGAGCCTTCCCCCACTTGGTCTCTCCCAAGATGGCAGCTCCAGGAGTAGTTTAGCGTCTTGAATTAGAAAGCAATGGATTTCTTAATTCTGCTACAAATTCTCCTATCTGTAAGCCTTCCAATCTTCTAAATATTCCTTTATATGTGGTTCAGAGTTCTAGCCCCATCCCCTGCTTGGTCCAGTATTCTGTGTTGTTGGTAATGGAGCTCCTCACTGCACATCTACCTGATCCGCCATTTTACTAGTGTATACTTTTTTTTTTAAGTATACTTTTATAATTTAGAAGTATGCTTCCTAGGCATCTATTTGATGTTGTGCTTAATTGCTATGTATATGTTAGGCACTATATTTAAATGAATGAGATGCTTGTTTAATTGAACTAAATAAGTATAACTAAGAGAAACATAAGAGTGGCTTCTAAAAGTTCATGGGAAATGGAATAAAAAGAAAATGGAAATTTTTTCACAAACTCTTCGAAGCCCCCTCATATTTTAGGTTGTGGAATCAGAAACTATTAATAGCATGCAACATCTCATAGGTTTAAAGACTTGGTCTAAGTGTTACCACCAGGACACAAGCATCTTGACGCATACACATACACAAAATACTTTTTCAAAAAAAGAAATACAGCATTTGAGCTTACTTTGTCCTGTAAAGAAAAATTTTACCTGTTCCCAAAAAATAAAGAACTGCGCTGTACCTTTTCCTTCCCAGGTATCAAAGGCATCCATCATTTTCTTCAATTCTGTTACTGAATAATAGCTCCAGATGTACTGAACATTATTTCCCGCCTCTCTAAAAATATTGCAAAAAGTAATGAAAATTGGCTACCTAGGTACAACACATAGACACAGCTTATAAACATGTAATAAGTGCTTTTTATGTAAGATAAAAACCCATAAGCATTGAATATTTTTTTCTTCTGTGACCCTTGAACATACATGTATCATACAGACTCATATACAAATCTACATTTGTTTTTACTTTGGTAAAATATGTTCATTCATAATGAAGACTGTGTAGACAAATCAATACATCTTTAAAATCAATTTTTTTAAAAAAATCACCTTACGCCAGTTGAGATTCAACTTTGACTAAAACTTCTTTGGCACTATTGCAGGCACTTGTATATTTATCAGACTACTTGCCTGTAAAGAATTCAGAAACTAGTTACATATTTAATCATTAAAAACGTAAGATTATATGATGATAAGGGAGCCCTGGTAGTGAAGTGATTAAGCATTTGGCTGCTAACTAAAAGGTTAGCAGTTCAAATCTACCAGCAGATCCTGGAAAAAAGAAAGTGCCAGTTTGTTTCCTTAAGACTTGCAGTTCTTAGAAAGTGTCCCGCAAAGTCATAAGTGTGAGTGGATTCAACGGCAGCAAGGATTTTTTAGGGGAAGAGGTGTCTGTGGTCATGACCCAATCCAATCTCCCAGACAACTAAGGAAAAAGCTTGCTATGGGAATTGACCATGTAATATTGGCAAAACATCAAGAGAATGACCCTTGTGAGTCTAACAGGCTCAAGTCATAGAATTTTAAAGGCCAAAGTGACCAGGGAAGCCCTGCGTTATTCAGCCAACCTCTTGACATTTAGACCAGTGCTTCTTCCCCTGAACTAAGATCTCAGGGAGACTCCAGGCTCTTCTTGTCTTTTTTTAAAATCATCTCAGGGGATTCTGATGCACAACCTCTGTTGAGCTCCACTACACTAGACTCAACAATAACAACAAGTATATAATACAAAGGTGATTGAAAAATTATCTGCACTCTGTATATATTACAACGCCCCTCCATCTCCATGGCTAGTGATAACATTGAGCAAACATGTGAAAGGATTCTATCGACTAGAAGAACGACAGTGGATTATGTAGCCAATCATCTGCAAATCAGACATGGTTCTGCTGATGAAAGAATCCATGATACACTTGGATTTTGAAGTTAGTGCAAGATGGGTACCCAAACAACTCACGAAAGAGCATAAACAGAAGCACTTGGACATCTGCAAACATAATTTGGGGCCACACGCGAAGGAAGGTAAAAGTTTCTTTAAAAAATCATTACTGGTGACTACACGTGGGTTCATTACTGCAAGCGTGAGAGTAAATGGCTGGCAGAGTACGGAATGGAAACATCCTCAATTGCCAACCAAAAAAAAGTCAAAAGTCAACCATCAGCTGGAAGATAAACTTGTTTTCTGGGATTCTCAAGGTTCAACAACCAACAGTGCTTATTACAGTGAGATGCTCACAGAAGAGCTGAAGCCTAAACTTGGAATCAAACACCGAGGACTGTTATGCAAGGGTTTTGTGATCTTCTATGACAACGCACATCCGCACACCTCTGACTACACAGTTGACACTCTGCACAAACTTCATTTTGAGGTGTTAAAGCATCCTCCCTATAGTCCTGATCTTGCTCCATCAAACTTTCACCTGTTTGGTCTCCTGAAAGCAGCTGTTTGAGGACAAAGACTTAGCCCTGATAAAGAAGTAAAGACAGCAGTGCATTCTGGGCTTGCCACACAACCTAAAACATTTTTTAATAAGGGAATACGAAAGCTTGTTGACAGATGGACAAAGTATATTGGAAAGCAAAGAGATAAGTCAAAAAGTGATGTATTTGTCTTTGCTAAGTTGATTAAAATAAATTCTACAGCTAGAGTGTGGATAATTTTTGACTCACTCTCATAGGTAGCCTACAGTTTTAGCAGATGTGAAACTGTCTTAATTAAAATCTCCTCATGAAGCAGGCCTCTCTCCCCAGCTTCTGGGCTCACTCCGTCTAATGAGAACTGTTGATGGTCTACTCTAGGCAAGGGCATATTCCATTCAAAAAGACTTTAGTTTGTTCTTTTTCATATTTAAATGTGGACTTACCTCTTAAAAATACTTTTACTATGAATTCTTCCTCCCAGTTGTTTATCGATGGCATCAGTTCCATCCGTTTTTGTGGCATACACACCAATAATTCTACTCTCACAGCTTGCAAGAGATGTGTTAAGATAGTGTAGAACCCAAACTGTCGGTTTATTGCAAACTAAGCCATATGAATCACAGAAGTCTGTTAAAGCCTGGAGCAAGAAAAATACATAAAACTTGAATTTAATTCTAAAGTAAATATGAATTTGCTCTGTTACTTTCATGCAAAGCTGCAATTTCAGCTTGTCATTAAGAGAAATAAAAAAATCACAAAATTCAGCCTAATCTCATGCCTTTAAAAGCTTTACATGCATTTGCTGAATTTACGGAAGGAAGAATCACAAACACCACTGCCCCAAACCCGGTACCTTTTCATCTGGAGAATCCTTTTCTACATGGAAATCCAATCTTACTTTCTCTTCCTTTGGCCATACGGCAGCCGTTTTAAATTTTGTAACGTTCACTTAGTAAATAACAGTTAAGCTTTCTTCTTTTCCCATTAGAATATTTTCTCCAAATTTTTTTCTTTGATTCAATCTTCCTTTCACCTTCTACTGACTAGCCACGTGCTCGATCCCTACTTTTAACTCCATATTCTAATGATGGACAACAAGATGTTCTTTCATATCAAAAGATATGAATGCATGAACCCAATTCCATTTGGCATTTATTCACCTACTCACTCATTCCCTTGAATGTTAAGTACCTACTATATGTCCAGCACAGAGAAGATCTATAAAGTCCTAGGGCTCTAATGGTGAGTCAAACAGAACCTTTGTGCTCCTAGGGCTCAAAGCGAAGAATACTGAAAACAGACATAACTAAGCCATCAGCATACAATGCAGTCAGTCCCACCAGGTGAGACTACCAGGTACTACTGGACCCGCAGCCGGAGTGTGTCCCCCTGTGGAGGAGCATGGGCCTTCCCTGGGAAAAATGACAGAGCTCCATGCAGACCTTTTGTCTGTCTTGCTCACTGATGTATATGACAACTGACACACACAAAAAATGCTTAATATTTACTGACTCACTGAATAAAGAGTCTTAACATGTCTTGTATTTTCATTTCAGATTACCATCTAGCTCTTACATGGATTTTTAAGTTTATTAGCAGAATTATCAACTGCTCAAGAGCAAGGAGCACAAGTTGTATGTATTTGTGTGTCCAATCCAGTCCCTAGCAGGGTGCTACCTATGCACCAAACACCTGGAATAAGTTAATGTGGGCTGAACAGAAGGAATTGCTGCATCCTTTATCACACAAACCAGGGAAGAGAGACTTAACAAGGTGGGACTCCAGGAGATGAGTTTTACCCTGGCCTGGCCAACCAGTCAGGTTTTCTTAGTCCCATTCTGCGGTGGTAAACAGAACCCTCTTGATCATACCATTTACTAAAAGGGAACTTTAAACTAAACCAACTTTCGCTTTGTATCCCACTCTTAAAAACCATTCCATCAGCTGGCTCCCCTATGAAATCCAATTCTTTCAAGACAGTTCTGACCCATAACAGCCCTGTATAGGGTTTCTGAGGAGCGGCTGGTAAGCTTGAACCACCGACCTGACCTTTTGGTTCAAACTGACTTTGCAGCGCAGCACACTAACCCACAGCACCAGGACTCCCAGAAGTCTAAAGGTATTAATTAATAGCAAAATGAATTTTTCTTAAAAAAAAAAAATACAGATAATACAGCTTTTATGATTTAAATATAAGCATCTTAAGAAAGAAAGAAAAAAAAATGACTTACTGATCTCAACGTGAACTAATCTAACATTTAACGTAGTACCAGACTGTTATTTTCTCTAAATTAGGTAAAAGAGGCATTATTTCATTCATCATGACCATTCTTCCAAAAGAGATCATTGTAGTAAACAAACACTATGATATCCTCACATACTACAGCATTCCCTGTAATTTAAAAAGAACTTCAGGAGCAGAATAGTTCTATTTTTAAAAAGCCATAAAAAACGCTGAATTTTCAACAAGCAACGCAAGCTTAATCAATTCCAGAATGGAATTTTGGCCTAGTATTACTGAGTAGTTGTAATTAAGAAATGTGTCTACAGAAATACTCAAAAGTAGGCCATTCCTATTTGATTTATGCTACAACACAGGCTAAGCAAAATACTATACACTGCTTTGTGCATAATAAATCTATATATTTTAAAACTTAAGAAAATGCCAAGACCTTTTTAAGTTCTATATTTGACCTTAAAGAATATGTCTCCATTTCATTGGCCAGGTGGTCAGACAGGCTGTATGGATAAGGGATGCCAAAGTAATCAGCCTCTTCTTGTAGGGCAACGCGGGTTTGCTCATCGGTAGGAATTTGAACTTCTCCATGAAGATAATCCAAAAGGTATTTAAACAGATGCCCATCACGGTCAATAACACAAGCCCCTAGAAAACATTCAATTCAAAAACGGCAAACATTATAAGCAATGGTAGGATCTCAATAAATAAGATTAGATCAATCTGAGAACTTTGAAAACTAGACTTTTCTTCTCACAAGTTAATATACAATGTTCAAATAGGATTAACCAATCAAACAGAGCTGGATTTGTGGTTCTTCATTGGAGCAGTCAATATGATGCACTAGCAACCCTCGGTTTGAAAACAGATGGTAGTCTGAAATTTAACTTGTGGATGGGTGTTCATGTCTCTCTACAGCACTGTGCATAAATCAGAATGCAAACACATGCCACCAAGGTCGCCAGGTTTGGTGTGGGTTGTGCTCTGCACAAAGGTGCCAGGCCAAGGGAGCAAAGCATGGCTCACCAAGTCGTGCACCCTGAATGGAGGAGCTGCTTTTTCTCACTACATAAGGAGACGCTTTCTTGGTGGTAGCCCATTGTATTCTTACCTACCATATATGAAAATGCATCCTGGGTCCCACTTGGAACTTAAGATGCAATGACTACCTTCTCTCTGCTTCCCCCAAAATCAAACCCATCAGTGTGGAGTCATAGTGAGCCTACAGGCCAGAGGAGAACGGTCCCATAGTGTTTCCAGGGCTGTGAGCCTTTACAGGAGCAGAATACTGCATCTTTCTCCCACTGATGGGTTTGAACCATTGGTCCTTCAGTTAGCAGCTGAGCACTTAAGTCACTGGGCCATCAGGGCTCCTTATCGTAGCCACCACAAAAGCCAAGGAGACCTCAGACTGGTGGGAGAAATGGAAGCTGACCCCTAACATCTGCCATCTGGGCCAGGAAGGGTGTATAGAATTCCTCACCAGATAAGAGTATGCGAGATGCTCTCTCTACATCAGAGTTATACGTCAGACAGACTACCAACCAGGGCTTCCTAGCTCCAGGTATACCATGTTTGGAATTGCTGGGTTATCCAATTCTATTTATACTATTGCAACCTAATTTATTTTTTTTTTAATGCTATATTGCTTTGTGATAAAAGACCTTCCTTGTACCCATTTAGCAAAATTACAACATGTACTTCTGTGCAAGGTTATTCAATAACGCCTTTCCTCCCTTGATTAGCATGGAAAACAGAGATAAGAAGGTAAAACAGTAGTGAAAGGCAGAGAAGAAAGCTCAGTGCCTGTTTAACACCTTTTTACCAGCCACCTTTCTAGACGGCTGGACATCAAGGTCTGGGCACTAATGGATGGTGGTTCTCTACTTTCAATCGCCACTCACCTGGTCAAGTAACCCCTGAGATCCCAGTCTACTAACATCAGAACTGCACATCATTCTCAAAACCCCTCAATCCTTCTCATCGGACACAAAACTACAAGTGACAGAGGAGTGTGGGAGAGAGGAAAGGCTATAAACCTGGAACCCCTCATATGGCACAAAAAGTCCCACTTGTACTCCTGTGAACCCGGGTAGAGACCTGGTTGGCCAGCAGTGTGGCAAGACCTGGGGACTCTTGAGCCCAGAGTCAGTGACATAGCCACAGAGGACTAGAGTGGAGAGTGAAGTGTCCAGCTGACAAGAAGAGAGGACATATGCACAAGAACACCCATATGTGCAGATAATACCCACTTGACCTGGCTTCAATGACTGGATGATCAGAGCTCAACCAGAAGAAGATAGAACAGGGGGGAAAAAAAAGAGTAATCTGATACAATTTGATGAAGTTGACCTACACCTATGGATGCAGTAGCTCAAAAGAGGGAACAAATCTTTACAGCGAGGATTATTCCCACCCCCTCCGTACACAGAGTAGACAGGGATAGGCAACTTGGACACTGGCTACCCAAAGAGGGGCGGGAGGACCTACAAAGGCAAGAAGTGACTGGCTTACAAGCTTTCAAGAGGGATCCTAGATCCTGAGGGTGTGGAGGAAGGTAGAATCTCCATTGAGTAGTATCCAATCTGTCTAGGTGGGGCTGATGAAAGGAAATGAGGATAGGTCTCTTGTGATACAATAGTGAATAATTATTATCAGGACTGATTGTGAGGGTTGGAAAAGTACAGGTAGACATTTTATTGCAAGGAGGGGAGTGATTAACATTTCAATCTAGGAGCAGAGGTCACTGGGACCATCAATGGAGAAGAGCAGAGAGCAGGGCCCTACCCAGAGAAGCAGTTACACCAGAGATAGAGGCAGAGACGATGACGTGGAGAGATGGAGCAGCTGGAGACTTTAGATCCACAGAGGGAGAGGGGCTGTGTGCTGACGACCGGGGTGCAGGCTTATAGTGTATACCCTCTGGTTGGTTGATGATGCATGGAGGGAAGGGATTGTAACAATGGCAATGAAATGATATACGATAGAATGAATGTAAAACTAATGTTCTCCTATGTAAACTATCACATAATTCACAATAAAACATTTAAGAAAGAAAAAAAGTCCCACTTGTGTTTATAAAGTTTCTTGAGAAGCAATAGTAGGTTCAGTGCACCCCAAGTAGAGACTAGTCCCAGACCCCTCTCCTGTGTTTTCAAGTTTCTTTCTGAAACCCCACTGTGCCACGGGGAACTGATGGTAACATTATTCTGGCATTTTCTGAGGCATCCACTTCAGCCCACACAACAAAGCTAGAGAGGCTAGGCAGAGAGTTCACACTAACTCTATCCTGAAAAGAACTACTCTATCAGTTCCAAGGGCAGCTGTTTCTCCACAAAAACACAATTTATGACTTGAGGAACACGGAGAAATGAAGATAATTAATCAGCCTATAAAGTTTATGTGAATGTAATAACTTTCAAAATATCATTAATCCCCATAATTAGGTCATGACCAGCCTTTAGGGCAATCTCACTTCATTGTAACTTTTAGCAACTGCATCACAGGTTTTAGAAACTGGCATTTAATTCCTACGTGCACTTATTGAATCTCCAAACATGCCTAAGGACATCAGTAATTTATATAATAATCTAATACATTCCATTGCCATTAGGAAAATCAAAGGAAATTTAAATTTGATTCCTATTTTAATAACTACTATGAACATGCTTACAGACACCAAACACTTACCCGATTCATCCGTTTTTAGAGGAAAACGACCACTGAACATGGACGCCAGCATTGAATCCTTAAAGCGGCACAGTGATTCCCGCCTGGCTGTGTAAATACAGCCACCCACATTCAGCCGAAGAATATCTAACACCTCCTCTTCTGCCTTACGTTCCTCCATGGCTCCCAAGGACTCCCCCAATTGCCTTCAGAAACTGCAAAACAATGGCAACCCTGGGAATCCCACTCTGAGACAACCAAGGACAATCACAACTGATACTTCAAACAATCCTTCCAACAAACAATGACATAAACACATCTTAATAGGATTTTGAATTAAGCCCTCAGTATTAAAGGGTTCTAGACAAAATGAAACTTTGAGCTACGCTGAGCAGCTAGAAAACTTGGGCTCAGATGATGTGTAAAAGGTAAACGATTATCAATCAAATCATAGCTGTTAGAGGAATTGTTTAAAGAATTAAACAAGATGATTCATGTGAAGATAGTCTCTCACATTAAGCAAAGGTGATCAGAAATGTTTATGAGCATTGGTGTTCAGTCACTTTCCAACTCTAAGAAGTCTGAGGGGCATGTCTAGACTTCAGGGAAGATGACTGTGTAACCTGGTATCAGGCTGCCAGGCTCCACGTCCTCATCTGTGACAAGGAAGAGTGGTGGGACCCTCAAAGGGCTGTCTGAGGAATAAGGGATGTCGCATATAAAAAGCATTCAGAACAGTGTCTGGCTAAGAGTAAGTATTCAGTAAATGATATCATTTGTCATGAAATACAGTGGATGCTAAGGGACTTGATTTTGGTTTGAGCCCTGGTGGTGCAGTGGTTAAGTGCTTGGTGGCTACTAAGAGGTCAGCAGTTTGTACCCACCAGTCGCTCCAAGGAAGAAAGATGTGGCAGTCTGCTCCCATTAATAATACAGTCTTGGAAATCCTGTGGGGCAGTTCTGCGCCATCCTGCAAGGCCTCTATGAGTTAGAATGAACTCAAAGGCAGTGGTTAGGTGGGTGGTGATATTGGTTCTGGAGATTTAGGAAAAAAGAACAGACATGATTAGCAATGGTAACCGTAATTCGTAACCTAAGGAACTGAAAATCCACTGCCACCATGTCAATTCCAACCCGTAACAACCCCATATAAGGCTTCCAAGGCTGTAAATCTTATGAGAGCAGAAAGTCTCAACTTTCTCCTGCAGAATGGTTACTGGGTTTGAAGTGCTGACCTAATGGTTAGCAGTCCAGTGCTTATCCTACAACACCATCAGATATGTATTTATCTACTGGGACAGGAATTCTATGTATACAAGAAGCCAGCCTGGTCTAAAATAACAACAAAGAATACCTTTAAATCATCCAGCTTCTTCAGTCTAAAATGACTAAAGCTTGGAGGAGTTTAAGGCTTTCACTTCTTAATCCATTCTGGAGCTAGATGACCATGGGTGACTGGGGACACGCCTATGAAACCTGAAACAATATCGTCACGAAACAGGTAATCCACATACTGAGGGCAAGTGTTGTTGTTGGTAAGTGCCGTAGAGTCGGTTCTGACCCACAGCAACTCTGTGTAGGGTTTCCGAGAAACAACTGGTGAGTTTGAATAGCTGGCCTTGTGGTTCAAGCAACTTTGCAGTCTGGCGCATTAACCCACAGCGCCTGCATATTTCATAGCAAGTTTAAAATGGTCACCAAGCAGCTCACTTTTGTCTAAGTGATCAAGTGAGAGCTTTTCACAGATGGAACTCCAATAAAACAGTGGAGGAAGACCATCAGTCAGAGCAAGACCTTGTGTGCTAACCACACTCAGCATGAGCACACAAACCACTATAGTTTCAAGTCCAGACCTCAAACCCCACTCGTCATTGTGACATCTCATTCTGTCTACAAGTCCTGAAAACAGTACCCCAATGATCCTCTGAGAGAACCTCCACGAGACAGGGCAATTTATAGTGTTCCAGGTACCAGCTCCCTGGAATCTTTTGGGCAAATCCCCCTTCTTGCATTGGCATTCCCAAGCACCCCCAAGAATCATTACAGTTTCCAAACGTACATGTCCTTAGGTCCACACTTTATTCCATGTATTTAATCCCTAGTCTATAGGCCCCAGGAAGCCTAGATCTGTCATCCTTGACAATTCACATTTTCTGGACACTTGCTTTGTGCCAGCCGTTGTAGGCGACACCTAACAGACATTACCTCTGATTCACACAGTAGCTCTGTCACATAGCAAGTACTGTCCCCACTGACAGACAAGGCACTGGGAGAAAGAAAAATAGAGATGTGCACGGCGCCAATACAGGAGCTATCCTACTAGTTAAGTGGTAGAACCAGCCCAATCCAGATCAGCAGGGCCAACCCCAAGTCCTCTGGCTGCACCTCCATACGACTTACCTTCACCACTGCCTCACCCTGCAGCTCCTACCGGGCCCCGGGCTCACTAAACATCTGTCCACTGAAAACTCGGAGGCAACAGGTACGATTGATGAGTTAACCCTGTCCCAAATCATGCTCTACACACAGAGAACGATCACATTATTTCAGGACCAGGCCCCCCAGACCCCATCCTCATAACACACTTAGGCTCCCCGCTGTATTGGGAAGTACAATGGCCCTCGAAGCAGTGTCCTCAAAGTGCAATTGTCTGACACCTGCATCAGAACCATCAAGGACGCTGGCTGAAAATGCAGATTCCCAGGCCATAGTTCTGGTCCAGAACGTCTGAGGCGAGGTCTGGGAATCTGCATTTTTAACAGGCCTCTGCGCCCCTCTTTGAGAAATACTGTTGAAGGAATTCACGATACTCCCTCAAAGCCAGTGGGCACGGGAAAAACCAGAAAGTCCCTCCGAGGACTTCCCCGCGGCCCGGGTACCCCGAATCGGCCGAAGCCTGAGCCTGCAGCCCGTGGCGCAGGCCCTCTACTCGGGGCGCTCTGTCGCCTCCGGGCCCACGGCCGACCCAGCGACCTGCCCCCTTGCCCGGGCGGGGCCGGGCGGACGGCCTTCCAGACTGACCTGCAGTCGACCCAACCCTCAGCGGGGGCACCGGACGCCGCGGGGCCCAACGCGGAAGTGAGCACCTCCTCGGCTGCTCTGCAACTCAAGCAACAGAGCAAGCCCAGCTGCGCCCCCGTGCGGCCCGGCGGCGGCGGGAGCCAGACCCCACCCACACCACGCCACCGAAGGCCACGCCTCTAGGGCCAGCCTGGGAAGACAAGCCTGGGGTTCTGTGTAACCCTTGGAAAAGGAAAGGCTCTGGAGAGATGGGATCCCTAAGGGAGAGTCTCGTCCTTTCAGAGGCTGGTTTTACAGAAAAAAAGACAGGCCACAGAAGTTCAGTTGTCCAAGCAGGGTCAGTTAATAAATCGCAAGCATTAAAATGATTTCGATCTCCACACCCCAATTCAGAACCCTTCCCTCAACCAGGATTGCTCAGTGCCAGAGAATTACTATATTACAATACTGAGTAATTCACTTGGATACTGTTTACGTTTTACAAAGTTGTTTCACAAAGGATATCAATCTGTGTAACAACTCTATACCAAACCAAAACCACTGCTAGGATGGTGTCAATTCAAACTCACTGTGCTTCCCGTATGTTACAGAGTAGAACTGAAGCAAATTGCTGGGTCTTTCTTCCACAGCACAGCTGAGTGGGTTCAAACAGACAGCTAACCACCCTGACAATGCTATAGCCAAAGCCAATTGCTATCCAAGTGGATTCTTACTCATAACTACTGTATAGGACAGAATAGAACTGCCTCATAGGGTTTCCAGGACTGTAAATCTTTACAGAAACAGACTACCATGGAGAAATTAGTGGCTATTAATCACCAACCTTTCCGGTAGCAGTAAACCTTTTAGCCACTGTACCACTAGGGCGCCAAGAAACCTATAAAGAATTTTATTTTTATTCCCATTACAGCAAGGAAAACATAGAGGCAGGAGCTAACATTATTGAACACTTACTATACACCTAACACTGTGCAAAGCCCTTTGCACCCACTATTTCCTCTTAACAAGAAACAAAAAATATAAAAGTTCTTTTACTTTCCAGTTGCATCCTAACTTGTGCAGCTGACTGTTAGGTATTGTGCAAGATGAGTAAATACAGTCTTGTTTTAAGGGACTTTCCTGGAGTCAATGATAATTGGTTCCCAATTCCCCTGACTGGGTCTTAGAAGGAAATAAGACAAAGAAATAAACCCACCTTCCCCTTCAGGTATTAATACCTTTGGGAGGGAGAAAGAGTTTGTACACCAATAATTATTTAGCATGAACTATGGACCAGGCTCTGGGGTCAAGGACTGAGCAAGATAAATAGTGTTCCTGCCCCCATGGAGCTTGCATTGCAGTGTAGATATCAGAAAACATATTCTCTAATGAGCCCTATAGTAACTGTTTTGGGCTTTGTGAACCATACATAGCTACCCAGCTCGGCTGTTGTACCATGAAAGCAGCCACAGACAATACACAAACAAATGAACGTGGCTGTGTTCCAATTTCATTTACAGACACTGAAATTCAAATAATACATAATTTTCACATGCCATAAAGTATTCTGATTTGGTTTGATTTCATATTCCCAAACATTAACAATTGTAAAAAACACTCAGTTTGCTGACTGTACAAAAATAAAGGGAGGTCTGTAGGCCATAGTTGAGGTCTTGGTGTAGCACTGTAGGATAAACAGTGGACTACTAATAACAAGGTTGGTGGTTCAAACCCACCAGTTACTCCTCAGAAACTCTCTACAGGGTCACTATGAGCCAGAACTGACTCAAAAGTACTTAACAACAGCAACAACAACAACAACAATGTGTAGAATACTGATCTTTATTTATTCCATTTCATTTTCAAAGACTTCCAATTTTCCTAGATTTAAACTTCATATATTCCATGTTTTTATTATTGATGAATGTTTATAACTGTTTCTGCTCATATTGAATCTTGGCACATCGGTAAATGGAGGTTCTGAAAACTTTACTCCATCCATGTCATTAAAGTTGACGCTGCTTTAAAAGAGAAGGTAGCTCTTCTCTAGTCGAACTTTGAGTGCCTTTCCACTTGAATGACTCATCTTTTGGCACAATATCAGACAATATTCTACTATTCATAAGGTCGTCATTGATCAGGATTTTTCCAGAAGTAGATTCCCAGATCCTCTTTTCTAGT